TGAGTCCTTCATGCGTAGGATCCCCTGCCATGTTCCTTGATGACATGGCTTCTGCCATTATCCTATCACATATAGCATTGTACTTCAAGATGGAGCTTAAAATGTTCTTTGTGATGATAAATGGAACACCATTTCTCTAAAATATGATTCAAAGTGGCCAAAACCAGCCCATTTTAGCTTACTAATACCTAGAATATTGATCTTAATGCATTCATGTTCATTTTCACAACTTTCAATTTTCTTGGATTCATACATCATAATTCCTTGTTCCAATTTTTAATGGGCGTTTGCAACCGTTTTTCCACATTTTGAGTTGTGCCCCATTGACAACTGAAGGTCCCGAATGTTTTGCTTGATTCATGTTATTTGGTCAACTCTACTCTAAGGGGGTAACTCTTACCCAGTTATATTTTGAGTGCATTCCAACCTGAGGAGCTCAATTTCTGGCACTGTATCTAGCAATGGTTTGTGACTATTGATAGTGATTTCATCTTCTGGGACTATGGCTGACATTTTTCTGTTGCTATGCATACAGTTTTCAGTGGCTAAGTGGTAAGAAGTAGCCCACCTGTCCAGTTTCCTAATCTGGAATTTTTGCTAAAACCTCTCCATCATGGGTGACCCAACAGGCAAGCCACGACAGTGCAACAAACTAACTGTAGACTCTTATGTATATGTTGTTGTTAAATGCTGTTGAGACAGTTCTGACTCATGGCAACCCTGAAAAGGGTTTCCAAGGAATCGCTCATGGGTTTGAACTGCCTACCTTGTGATCAGCAGTCCACTGCTTATCCTACATTGCCACACCTAAAACTGTAATGGTCTTTTTGGTATTCTGATTGGTGAAAAAGGTTTCATACTCTTGCTTTTATTTCATTTTCCTGATTAGTTTTGAAGTTAAGTGTTTGTTAATTATTATCTGCTTGTGAATTATCTGTTCTACCAGGCCCTCCACTGGAGAAGCTGAGGCCTTCTACTCCCATAAAGATTTACAGCCTCCAAAACTCTATTATATAGGGCCTTTATGAATTGGAATCCTGATGTAGCACTTGTGGGCTAATGTACCACAAGGTTGGTGGTTCAAGCTGACCAGCTACTCCTTGGAAACCCTATACAGGGTCGCTATGAGTTGGAACCAACTCCACAACACATAACAACAACAACAACGAATAAAGCAAATTAGCAAATTCCTATTTCACAATTTCTATACATATTGTTCAGTAACATTAGTTACATTTTCCACAATATTTCAACATTCTCTTAAATTACGT